ACCACCCATAAGAAAGAGGCCTAACATACAAATAAAGCCCAAAACAACACACGTGCGCTTTAGAACACCACAGATGTGAACCGCCTGTGCCTTGTGGTGCACTGCAATGAACAAAAATGCTGTCAGTCTATTAAAAGCTGTGTTTTTGAGTGCTGGCAGCCCATTTAAAATGAATGGGATTCTGTATTCCTATGCACGGTAATGCGTTAGTGGTAATGCAGGGCATCAATTTCAATGCAGCCTAAGGGAATTTTCATGCACATCTGATCTCATAGGATTAAAACAGCACTGATATCATTAATGGAAAAAGGGGGGAAAAAAAACCACTCAAAGTATAAAACAAACACAATTTATCTTCCCCTCACTAAGAAAAAATATATTGTAACAGTTTTTGAAGGGATCATCTCTGTTTGGTGTGTTTATAATGTGTGATGGTGAGAAGTTATTGCAGCAATATAATCATTGTAGGAAATATTCCACCATAAAATGACTTGCTAAAATAGAAATGCATAAAAGGCTCCCTGCAAAGAAGACACCTAATACCTCTCCTGCTGTCTGTGCCACTGATCTCGCCTGTGCTGAAAAGCATCAAGCAGAACTGCAAAATCCAACACTTCTCTTGGTTTGGAAAGATCTCCTCTTATCTCCTGTTTTTTCTTTGGGACAGGTAATGAAGTGAAATTTCCTTGATGGGACACAGACAGAAAAATTTAAAAAAAGACATGACAAAGGCCAGTCCCTACTTTATCAAAAACCAAAAAAGTTTTGGCTTTACAAACAGTTTATTTTTTATTATTGTGCAGGTTTACTTATAAAATACTTAAAGTAGTTGTAAGACTCGGTTCACACTGCCGCGACTTGGGATCCGACTTGTGAGACCCCCAAGTTGCATGCCATGTGAAATCTCATGTTAGTCAATGACAGCTGTCCTAATTAGCACTACTGAAGTCACTCCAACTTTAGAAAAGATTCCTATACTACTTCAAGGCAACTTCTATCCAACTTGTGCCCATAGACTTTAATGGAGGTCGCCTCCAAGTCGGATCCTCATGTATATTGATGTGATTTGGATCCGACATCAAAAGGAAGATTACCCAGGCACTCCCTGAAAGTTGCTTCAGAGTTTTTTCAAAGTCGCTTCAAAGCAGTACTCACATCGCCTGGCAAAGTCGCTCTGTAAAGTCGTGCAACTTTCAGGTCGCAGTAGTGTGAATCTCAGACATGAAATATGAACAAAGCATACCCCTCTATATTGTGTACTTGTCTCAATCCAGAGCACTAAGGGGGTATATTTACTAAAGCTGGAAAGTGCAAAATCAGGTTCACTTCTGTAGAGAAACCAATCAGCTTCTATCCTCAGCTTGTTCAATTAGACTTTGGTAATAAAACCGGGAAGCTGATTGGTTTCTATGCAGAAGTGAGCCTGACTTTGCACCCTCCAGCTTTAGTAAATAAACCCCTAAGTGTCACTTCTGTCTGTTGCCTCATTCCTCTGCTATCTGTATGAATCACTTTTGACAAGTTTTCCTGACACCTAGAAGTAAAAAGGTGACAGAGGAGGGAGATTCAGCACACCGCCAGTGATTGACAGCATCAGCTCTGTTTCTACGTGCTGTGTGAAGGGGGGGGTGTCTTTTCCTTCCAGTCAATTCTCAGATCTCTCCTCACTGAGCTCTGCAGTGTGTAATTCCAGCTCTCCTCCCTCTGTTTTCTGAAAGCTCAGACAAGCTTTGTAAATTATGGACTTTGAACAGATGTAGAGAAGAGAGGGTTGCAGGTATATAGGTACAACTTATGTAGGATGATTTTTTTTTTCTCATCTTGTATCTGTATCACTTGAGGCCAGTCACTTCTCTGGGTATATGTAAGGATTTACAACTGCTTTAAGTTTGACTATTGTTGAGCGAGTAAAAGGTCATTTGAAGTAAGACAGTTGCTGCCCTTTTAATGGCTTGACTTCACAGACTCTCACTCCCAGCTTCTGAATGTACACATGGCTGCCCCCATGTAAAGTACATATGTAGTTACCAACTACACGCCTGGCAGTACTAGGGTTGTTGGTTCAAATCACATCCCTCCAAAGACATGCTGATAGCTTAATTGGCCCTAGTATGTGCATGTATGAATGTGAGTTAGGGACCTTAGATTGTACGCCCCTTGAGGGTGATTATACATATATATATATAAAGTGCTGCATAAATTGACAGCACTATATAAGTACCTGAAATAAATAAATATCAGGTGCCCTTCTTTCCCATCTCAGAGAGTTGGGAGGTGGCCCTGAGCAGCCAATCACCAAGCCAGAACACTGTCCCAGGGGGAGGGAAGTACTATAGGTCATTAGCCCTGTGTAAGCTCTGACACAGATTTAGACCCATAGCTAAGCCTGAAGAGTGGGGGAGCTCGATGAATACTAGCTGATGAGGGGGGAAAGCATTTAAGAGTTTCTATAATTTTGCCCTTAATGGAAAAAAGGGACAGATTCCCTTTTGCTTCATTCACACAACCGTAAAAAAAAAACTACATATACAAGTATTTTTAATTAAGGATCTGAATGCAGCTGCATAGTGTTCAATGCAGCCATTCACACAGGTGCGTAAATATGCACTGCATTCAGATCCATAACGCAGAATCCAAAAATCTGCACATGTACACACGTTTGTAAGCTCGTAAATTAAGTCTAAACAAATGGAAAAATAAATTATGAACGCATACGCATCATTGCGCATGTTTATGCGTTTAAACGCATTTATACGCAAGTATTTTATAGATCATTACGCAGGAACTTTTTCAGCTAGAAAACACGTGTAATAACATCAGTAAAATTACAGCAAATGTATTATTATTATACAGGATTTATATAGCGCCAACAGTTTGCGCAGCGCTTTACAAAATGAAGGTAGACATTACAGTTACAATACAATTTGGTACAAGAGGAAACAGAGGGCCCGGCTCGTTAGAGCTTACAATCTAGGGGGAAGGGTTGAGTGATACAAAAGGTAATAGCTGTGGGGGATGAGCTGATGGAGGAAGCAGTTCACTAGTTAGAAGCAGGATAGGTTTCTTTAACCAGTTCCCAACCGCGTTATAGCTGAAGGACGGCTACAGCGCGGTTGTGTAATCCTGGGACGACGTCTATGAACGTCATTCCAGAACACGCCCCCCTGTGTGCCCCCAGCGGAGCACTCCTGGCACAGCCGGTGATCGCTGTGTCCTACAGACACAGCTGATCATGTGATACGGTAAACGGCCAATCACGGCGGCCTTTTACCAAGTGCCCAGCATTGCAACCCATCAGTGCCCAGCAGTGCCACCCATCAGTGCAGCATCATTAATGCTGCTCATCAGTGCTGCCTATCAGTGCAACATCATCAGTGCAGCCTATCAATGCCTCCTAACAGTGCTCATCAGTGCTGCCTATCACTGCCCAACAGTGCTGCCTATCAGTGCAGCCTCATCAACGCACATCAGTGATAGAGAAAAATTACCTGTTTGCAACCCTTTTTTTTTTTTTTTTTTTTTTACACATTTTTTGCTCTTGTTTTGTTTATAGTGCAAACATAAAAACACCCATGGTAAGTAAATACCACCAAAAGAAAGCTCTATTTGTGTGAAAAAAATTATAACAATTTCATATTGATACAATGTTGAATGACCGGGCAATTGTCATTCAAAGTGTGAAAGCACTGAAAGCTGAATATTGGCCTGGGCAGGAAGGGGGTATAAGTGCCCGGTAAGCAAGTGGTTAAAGAGAAGGGTTTTCAGGGATCGCCTAAAGGTGGATAGATTAGGTGATAGTTGGACAGATTGGGGTAGGGAGTTCCATAGGATGGGAGAAGCTCAGGAAAAGTCCTGGAGGTGAGCATGGGAGGAGGTGACCTGGGAACTAGAGAGCAAACGTTCATGGAAGGATCGAAGAATTTAGCCTAAGAACATGCATCTTACACATATAAACACATGTATACACGTATGCATTAAGTGTAAACAAAGGGATAAAAAAAACAAGTTATATATGTACGCACGTCTTTACGCATTTAAACACATCTACTGTATATGCTAGTATTTTACTGCTCATTATGCAAGAACTTTCCTCCTAGAAAACACATTTAATAACATCAGTAAACTGTTTATGGATATGTGAATGAGGCTTTTATCTATGCTACCTTAAGGCTTCATTCACGCAGATGTAAAAAAAACCCATATGCAAGTGTTTTTAATTACAGATCTGAACACAGCTGCATTATTTTTAATGGATCCTTTCACACAGGTGTGTAAACATGCACTGCACTCAGATTCATGACATAGAATCCAAATATCTGCATCTAAGAACATGTGCTTTATGCACTTATGTATGTAAACGCATGTATATGAATCTAGAATCCAAATATCTGCGCTTACACGTATAAATGCCGGTATAGGAATCTAGAATCCAAATATCTGCACTTACGTGTATAAACGCATGTATAGGCATTTGTAAGCTTGTGAATTAAGTCTAAACAATAAGCATCTTTACACATTTAAATGTATCTATACACAAATAGTTTACTGATCATAATGCAGCACTAACCACTTAGGAGTCGCTGAGTCTTGGGTCCCCCAATCTCTGTACAGCTAGGCAACACACAATTTCTTTCACATTTTGCACACTGGAGTCAGTAAACCTTGAGCTTGGGTTTGTGGTTTTATTAAGGGGTATTAGAATTTGAATAGGGTTGAGGGGTGTATGGGATGCCCAAGCAAACTTGAGGATAATTTAGGGCAACTATGTACAAAATGTGGACAAGAAATAGTCTCTCCTCTAAGAGCATCCGAAGGTCTTTGGTGTACCTCTTCAGATCCCAGATGAATTCTGTTCTTCACCCAGCTGCCTGAGGGGCAGCTTCCCTGTGCAAGGGGACCCAAAGCTGCCAATTTAATGCAGCAGTCCCAGATGAGAAGCTGATTGGGTTTTCCACCTGACTACTCTCTCCCCTTATCCAGCCAGGGGGTGTAGGATTACTCACTCACCACTAATCCAGGGGTGTCAAACTGGCAGCCCTCCAGCTGTTGCAAAACTACAAGTCCCATCATGCCTCTACCTTTGGGAGTCATGCTTGAAACTGTCAATCTTGCAATGCCTCATGGGACTTGTAGTTTGGCAATAGCTGGAGGGCCGCCAGTTTGACACCTGTGGCCTAATAGGTTGGTGGCTGCCTTTAGGCCTTCCGCTGCGCTGGCTCATTCCCTGCTGTTCAGGATTTCCTCCCTAAGACACGGTGGAGATCCTCTTCTATAGCAACTGCCAGTAGGTAGGCCCCCTCCCTGGGGCCCCCTCCCAGGTCCCACACTCCAGCCTCTCACTTCATCTTCCACTCTCTGACCCTGCTGCATAGGCTCTGCCACTTTTGAGGGTTGCCCTGGACATCATGCCCAGCCTTCTGCCAGGGGGTTAGCCAGAATTCTTCAAATATGCAGATCTGGGCTTCCTCCCCACCTCCACCCCCGCTTCCAGAAAGTTCTCTAAATTTCTGGAAGGGTGGGAGAGCTCCAGAAGCCTGACCTGTTAGAGCCTCCCAGCCTGTCTTGAGGTGAACTCCTGCCTCACTCACAGGCTGACTCATCCCAGGCTGCTACTCAGACTCTGCCTAGAAAAGAAAACAACAAACAGCTCTCTAGCCAACCTGGAGGCCGTTACAATTTGTAAAATTTTTATGGCAGTGTGAATGAAACCTTAGAGCAGGGGTGTCAAATTGCAGCCCTCCCGCTGTAGCAGAACTACTAGTCCCATCATGCCTTTGCATGGGAGTCATATTTGTAACTGTCAGCCTTGCAATGCCTCATGGGACTTGTAGTTCTGCAAGAGCTGGAAATCCACAGTTTGGCATGCCTGTCTAAAGGCAAACTCTGGGCTAAATTTTTATTTCTTGAAATAGTCTACCAGTCAGTGTTGAAAAAGGAATGAATGCAATGCTTACCTTCACAACAGAGCTGTCCCCTGCAGTGCCTCTTCTTCAGTATGAGATGTTCTGCATCTTCTTCTGGGTTGAGAACATACTGAGAGTGTAGGGCATTATGGTCCCCCCCTAAGGGGGTATCACCACAATGGCCTTCAATTACATTGTTATGGTTCCAGCAGTGGTAGTGATGTCATCATGTCAGTGCCGCTCTCTGCATCAATGGAGACCACCAATCCCAGAGAAGAGGGGAAAAGGAAGAAGACGCTGCAGCATCAAATGATCGGTCTGCAGTTTTGCCAAGAAAACATAAGAAAAATAAAATACTGCCAGTGAGGCCACAAGGGGGGAGAGGAGATGATTTGCAGGAGGGGCCTGGAGCCCAGAGTTGAGCTTTAACCCTTTCATTGCCAGAGCCGTTTTTGCATATGTTTGTTTGTACACATATTAAAAAAAAACATTTTAGGCCTGAAGATTACACAAAACCCCTAAACATTATATATTTTTTCTGAAAGCAGACACCCTTGAAAATAAAATAAAATAGTTCTAATTTTTTATGTCACGTGATGTTACCGCAATGGTCTAGGAAATGCAAAATCGCAGAAAAAAAAAAAACACACTAAAGTGAATTTTAGGGCAAAGAAACACAATAAATTTACCCAACTTTTTTGTAAAATATAAAAGATAAGGGAACACCAGAGTAAATAGATACCAAACGTGTCAAACCTTAAATTTGTGTGCGCCCGTGAAATGGCAGCACACTTTGGTACTATATCATTTCTATAGGTGACGCTTCCAAAGCCCACTATAGAGGTCATCAGTTTGGTGTTACAGAGTTGGTCTAGTGCAGTGGTCTCCAAACTGAAAGCGGCCTGTCTCTATCCGGCCCTCGGGACTAACAGCACAGTAATGATGTCAGCGCTAATTGTACAAGGTAATACCTGGCCTTTCAAAATACATTTGGTGCTCACAAAAGTGGGTTTGTATCTTTAGTGGCTTTTGAGGAATATATTTGAATATTTTTTTTTGTACCCAAAGTCCTGCTTCATGCCAGTAAAACAGTGATAAAAAAAATTATAGTTCCAATAAAGTTAAATATCTTCCAGGCTTCTGAATTTCTTCAGTTGCCAGAGATGATAACATGCAGTATAATTTTATAGCAATTAAACATTGCATTTCTTGGTACAGGTCTGGTATTTTGTCTATATGACCATTCACATTTATGCCAAGGAAACCCCCCAACATCTATTTTTCTAACCGGTGAAAAACAGCCCGGTAAAATATAGACTTGCCTGTGTTTATTATAAACCATCTCAAAGGATATCTCCAACTCTCCTACAATTTCTTTGATTTATGTTCAAAAACACACAGGGCATGAAATGATTTCGGCAACCTTACATTTCCCTCAAGAGCGCGGCGGCCAGCCGATATATTCCGAAACATCATGTCGGATCCCTTGTTATGTCTCCTTCTTAAAATAAATTTATGATAATCAATTATATCTGCTTCAAAGGAACTGCCACTGGATTTTCCCATTACAAAATCTGTTAAAAGAAAAAAATATCTATCTATATAGATATATATAGATATATATAATCCCACTTCCCCTACATTTAAGGTACCATGGGGGGATTGTGCCCACGCAGACATCCAAATTGAAAGAAAATGTGCCAAATTCAGCAAAAAGGGATATCTATCAAAAGCCAGTAATGTCAAAGGTGCTGGAGGAATGGTAACCTTCCTTCTCTTCATATGCAGAAGATTCATGGCCAGTGAGATAATGCACTCATCGCATTTCTCAAAGAATCAGGTTACCTGTAGTTAACCAGCAGCTGTCTGCCTATTTCACAGCCCTCTCGCTCCAACATTCTGTGCTCTATGCATATTGATCAGGTTATCATTGTGCAATTTGCTCCAGCTGGTAAGAAATGCAAAACCGCAGTTCGCGATATGACAGCAAGAAATGACCATATAGGATAGATTGCAGGAAGTATGCATGTGTTCTCGTGTTATTATTTGAAAGAAAACTCTACATTCTAAAAAAAAAAAAAAAAAAATGTATACATTATATGTATTGGTTAAAGCAACCCGGATGCGAAATTAAAATTCCACCAAAGGCTTACCCTGCAAAAGGAGAATGGAAATAGTTCCTCGCCTTCCAGCTGTGCTGTCACACATTGTCCTGTTAATCCTCCAAAAAAGGGAAAGAACTGCTCACCATCGAAGCCAATCTGAGATTGTTGAAAGCCGAAAGGTTAGGCTCCTTTGGTAAAATGAAACGCGTTAGCAGTTCGAAAACAAAAAAGAAAAAGTGGGCACACCAGCCTAGTGTAGTGACCAGGGGCGGACTGATAACTCATGGGGCCCCCGGGCAATAGGGGATCATGGGTCCCCTGTGTCCTTGCCCAAACTCAAAAAAGCCTATGAAAAAAAAGGTACCAGGGGCATCTCATGGGGCCCCTTACTGACCCCGGGCCCTCGGGCAGTGCCTGAGTTTCCAAATGGTCAGTCCACCCCTGGTAGTGACTAAGTGGTTAGCACTTCTGCCTGAAAGCACTAGGGTTGTTGGTTTGAATTCCAACCACGACACTACCTGCCTGGAGTTTGCATGTTCTCTCAGTCCCTGCAAGGGTTTTCTCCCACACTCCAAAGACATGCTGGCAGGTTAATTGGCTCCTGTCTTAATTAGCCCTAGTATGTATATGTATGAATGTGATTTAGGGACCTTAGATTGTAAGCTCCTTGAGGGTTAGGGACTGATATAATGTACAATATATGTACTGTATATAAAGTGCTGCGTAAATTGATGGCACTATATAAGTACCTAAAATTATCATCATGTATCATTTAACATTACATTTAAAACAAATGTTATACTCACAAAAGCCCAAATATACAAATTCATCAGCCGTGATGAAGATGGGACACCCCTTGAAAACGCATCAGCCATAACATACCTAGGTGGCTACTTGCTATGATAAGGAACATGTGTAGTGGATCTGACTTCTTTGAATTTAGAAAGAAATGCCCGTAGCGAAATAAAGAAGAAATAGCGCAGGGCATACATGACTAGGCCCAGAGTGGGGGAAGGAAGAGCAGAAAGGGTTAAGGTAGCTCCAAGGTAGCTCCAAGGGTTAAGGTAGCTCCAAGGTAGCTGATTGGTAGAGGTTGGTGTAGGTGGGGTTTTGCTGCACCTTAGGGTGGGAGGTTCTGTGAGGGGGCGTCAGTTAGCTGGACGGCAAGAGTGTGAGCTTCCCTCCCGCCCTCCCTATTTGGGTGAGTTTTGGGTCCCTCCAGGTGAAGGGGGGGATTCTGTTGGTTCATGGACGGTTGTTGGTCTTTGGAGGCGGTTCTTATTTGGACGGTAAACAACAATGGTGTGGGACCCATCCGTGGTATGGGATGCCCCGGGACATTCCCAGTTAACCAAGGTTTAACTGGAAGGTGGTGGTGCTGCACTGCGGACGGTATGGTTGTCTCCGAGCTGGTTGGTTGCGGCTGGAGGCCTAGTGTATATGGTTGTCCGCAGGTGCATTTCGGATCGTTTTGGGGTGCCTTCGAAGACCAACAACAATTCTGTGGGTTTCTGTTATACGGCATGGTTGGTGGCGGTTGTTGGTCTTTGGAGGCGGTTCTTATTTGGAAGGTAAACAACAATGGTGTGGGACCCATCCGTGGTATGGGATGCCCGGGGACATTCCCAGTTAACCAAGGTTTAACTGGAAGGTGGTGGTGCTGCACTGCGGACGGTATGGTTGTCTCCGAGCTGGTTGGTTGCGGCTGGAGGCCTAGTGTATATGGTTGTCCGCAGGTGCATTTCGGATCGTTTTGGGGTGCCTTTGAAGACCAACAACAATTCTGTGGGTTTTTCTGTTATACGGCATGGTTGGTGGCGGTTGTTGGTCTTTGGAGGCGGTTCTTATTTGGAAGGTAAACAACAATGGTGTGGGACCCATCCGTGGTATGGGATGCCCGGGGACATTCCCAGTTAACCAAGGTTTAACTGGAAGGTGGTGGTGCTGCACTGCGGACGGTATGGTTGTCTCCGAGCTGGTTGGTAGCGGCTGGAGGCCTAGTGTATATGGTTGTCCGCAGGTGCATTTCGGATCATTTTGGGGTGCCTTTGAAGACCAACAACAATTCTGGGGGTTTCTGTTATAAGGAATGGTTGGTGTATTGTAACTTGAGTTGTTATTAAAAGGCCATGTTGGCCATTTACTCCAAAATTGGTGTTATGTCTTTTGTTAGTATAATTGGTTAAGGGGAAGGGGGTTGGCGCGGAACGGTAATGGTGATAATGGGGAAGTGGACGAGCCTATCTCTGGTGCAATAGTCATGTGTTGGTGATCTTGTCTACACAGGCGTTTGTGAGCATAGCATTTGTTTTAAACCACTTGCCCTTCAGAGGATTTACCCACCTTCCTGACCAGGCCATTTTTGTGATACGGTTCTGCGTTACTTTAACTGATAACTGCGCAGTCATGCAACGCTGCACCCAAATTAAATTTATGTCCTTTTTTTCCCAACAAATAGAACTTTCTTTTAGTGGTATTTGATCACCCGTGCGTTTTTTATTTTTTGCGCTATAAACAAAACAAGGACAATTTAAAAAAAAAAAAATATTTTTTACTTTTTGCTATAAAACATATCCAGTAAAAAAATTTAAAAAAATCTAATTTCTTCATAATTTTCTTCATGAATTTAGGCCAAAATGTATTCTGCTACATGTCTTTGCTACAAAAAAATCCATGCATGTAAATTAATTACATGAAAGTTATAGCATCTACCAATGGAAGTGTATATATACTGGAATTTTAATTTTAATTATTTTATACTAGTAATGGCGGCGATCAGCGACTTATAGCGGGACTGCCGTCGGCATTCTGACACTGGGTGGAAAGTGACTAACTGCCACTGACATCCCAATGACACTAATACAGTGATCAGTGCTAATAAAAAGCACTGACACTGTACTAATGACATTGGGCAGGAACAGGTTAACATCTGGGGCGATCAAAGGGTTAACTGTGTGCTGTTTTACTATGTGTGCTGTGTGTGTTTTACTTGGAAAACATGCTGCTGTGTATTTCTCTACTGTGCAGAGAAATATACAGCAGCATGTTGTTGCTGGCAGGAGAGAGACCTCTGTTGTTTACAGACAGTTCTCTCCAAAGTCACTGTTTCTCAGTGATCGCTGAGTGCCGGTGGAGAATCTCCTGCCGGGACCCAGTGATTGACATCTGTAACTACCTGGAAATGCACAAACACATGACTTTGCACGGCCCTGTTGCCCTGTAGCAGTATTTCTGCTATAAGGTGGAGGGCAACTGGTTAATTATAAAAAAATTAAATAACAGCGCTAATATTAAACTTAGACATCAATAAAAGTTCAATAATTATATTGCAATGAATTTTCATATAGTGAATTTCATACAGTTATTATTATTATTATACAGGATTTATATAGCGCCAACAGTTTGCGCTGCACTTTACAAAATGAAGGTAGACATTACAGGTACAATACAATTTGGTACAAGAGGAAACAGAGGGCCCTGCTCAATAGAGCTTACAATCTATACAGTGAATACAATCAGTGAAAGTTGAAAGAAACAAATAATACAATTTTAAAATACACTAAAAGGTAAAGTGTCCATGTGAAACATAAATTACAAATCCATGTGTACATAAAGTGCCAAGTGCTATGTTGCAATGGTACACCACGATATGAAAAGACTTCACCACCTCCACATATAGATGTGAGGGCCTCTTACCACACCAGGTGGACCATAAAGTTATAAATGGTCATAAAGCGCTCAGCTCGAAGATTGTGCAATCACAACTTTCCCATAGCAGGTAAGTAGTCGTAATAGATGGTACTCCAGAACAGACAGACCATTAGAAGATGTAGTAATGGCATCCTGCACCTGAATAGAGCTCCACCACAGTGGATCAATGGCCGTGACATCAGTAGATAAAAAATGAAGACAACGCATACATAGTGAATGATGCCCAAAAAGACGTTTTATTCTTTAGGATCAAAGTTCACATCCAAAAGCTAAGGTGCAAGATAAAAAACACTGCGCTTACATACAAAATGGTGTGGCAAGCTAATCACTCCAGCATGGAAAGATGCTTAACTCACATGGACCGACGTAGCAATGCGATTATGTCACACATACAAACCATATCCTACATGTTCCATCATACAGACGTCTTCCAGGGGATTCGGCTGTATCATATACCAGGAGGATGTGTATCATATACAGCTGAATTAGAAAGACTTGGGGAGCAAATTTAGAGACTCACACTATGGGTGCTGCCTTGTGAAGAGCATGTCCCAACTCAATGTATTCAATGTGGAAAGAAGAGGCCCCGATCACTGCACTCCAAGCAAGACCTACAATCACTCCAGTAAAAGCAGTCAAGTTCTGTCCAGGCCATGCCATGATGCATTCGCCCCATCCCCAGGGCTTAGTCATGGAGGACACGGGGCCTCTTCTTTCTAGATTGAATACATTCAGGTCTTTGATACCTCTCACAGAATTCCTTTTGACAATGCCTTCATCTGCTTATCTTTCTAGAAGGAAGGAGCCATCTTTGTTTAGACACTATGCAGGGTTAGCATCCACTACTTGGACTGAGATGATGGCTCAGGGATGACACAATCACTCAAAGTTGGTTGTATATCGGTAGAATTTCACTTTAAAATTTGCACAGAAATTCAGAAAAATTGTTCATCAGAGCATTTGATCTTGCCATGACTAAGTCATCTCATTTTATTTGAAAGACCTTAAAATTTTGTCCAGACCGCTACTTGACTTTAATCCCAGATGTATTAAACTGGTTTCTTTTGTGCCTAGAACACTCACATTACAATATGTACGATTTTTAAGAAAACCACATTTTCAGTTATAACTTTGTTAGTTTGAGAAAGATTTTCTATCCTGCTACTTCAAAAATGATCATTCCAAAAATAAAAATTATATTGTATGGCCAGTTTAATTTCTGGTACCTGCTGAGTTCTTGGCTTACTCCACCAATGTCTGACAGAGGTCAGCCCTTGCTGTAACCTCCTTGTGACTCTGTCAAGGTCCTACCTTTTCCCTGTGGTTATGTTACTTCATGTGCTGGTGTCCATCTTGGATTCTGCTGTGCATGATGGGAGCCCTTTTATGCCTTCAGGTTTCTGTGGTCCATCCTCCAGAGGGGTGTGGCTGATGACATATAAGCCTGTGGCCCGCACATGCTCTTTGCACTTGTGACTTGTGTCTTTGTGTTGCTGTTACTCTGTTCTGACTCTCGTGACTCTCCTGGTATCTGATTCGGCTTGTCTTGACTATTCTTTGTATTCTCCTTTGATCTGACCCTCTGTTGCTGAACCCGGCTCGTGACCTGTGATTCTCGTCTGCTGTCCTGTACTGTTCTGTCCTGTTGTTGTTGACCCCGGCTTGTCTGACTACTCTTTTGTCTCTTCCACCAGCTACACGCCATTGGCGGCGGCCATTACCGCAGCTGAGGT